TATTAACATACTAGGAAAACGCTAAAGTCTCCTAAAACAAATACTTTTTCGTAATCAACAAAATTTAAGGTGAAGAGACAATTAAATGAGGCTTCATAATCAATAACTGTAAGACTTGGAGGAATGTAAATAAGTAGTATTAATATTTTGTAATAATTTAATGTAATCGTAGTATTCTATCTATAACACGTGAAATCATGAATAATGAATTAAATTTAAATATTTTACGTGGAATACAATAAAAATATAATTAATAAAAAAACGCTCATATAATTTTTAAAAATGGCAGGCTTGGCGACTACAAAAGTTTTATAGTTTTTTGGGGGAAACATTTTGGCTAAATTCATTTTTTTATAGCTGACCATAATATGGCCATATCGAGGTGAACTTTGTTTTTTTAAATGGGAATCCCATTTTTTCTTACATATTCTTAAAGTACATAAAAAAATAAGAAACTTTTGAGGCAAATATTTTTTTTATTGGACTTTTACTTTTTGAGTAACAGCTACTTGAAAATGTTACTGCGCGAAAAAAAAGTTGGCCATATTATGGTTAGCTATAAAAAACGATTTTAGCCAAAAGTTTTTCCCTACAAAACTATAAAACTTTCGTCTGAAACGTTTTTTTTATAAAAAGTGGTATATAGCTGTAACGCTTTAATTTAGAACACCCGGTATAGAATCCAAATTAGAAGAAAATAATGACCACGATAATGAAACAAAATAAAGCCCCAAAAAAGGTAAATCAAACGAGGGTGGTCCTTAGGATCTCACAAGAGTATTTTATTACGACCGGTTTCGAGGATCAGATCCTCATCATCAGGTAAGGTCTAAAATAGAGAGGAAAAACGAATGAGCTCATAACTAATAAAGTGGGTTTAAACATCTGATCCTCGAAACCGGTCGTAATAAAATACTCTTGTGAGATCCTAAGGACCACCCTCGTTTGATTTACCTTTTTTGAACTTATAACTCACACATGGCTACCACCTTCAACTTTAATTAAAATAAAGCCCAATTAATGAAAATGAACTGGAAAACGCTAGTGATGATGATGATGATGGTTTTGATTAATAAAAAATCTATACAACCATTTTCTTTTTAATAAACATTAAAAATTATTTAAAAAAATCACCTAAGTACTATTTTTATATTAATTGCTGGCCCATTAAGATACCGGGAATGTCCCAGTAAGCCCATGTGAAATGGGGAAACAGGCCCTAATGATGAAATTAATATTAATTAATAAGTACAAACCTGATTTTTTCTTTTTCAAGTTAACTTAGCATCTTGATACTTTTCAATTTATTTTTTATACATGTATGGAAAGATAAACGCACATCCTCTATTTTACAATAAATTGGATAAGGTATAATAGGACCATGCGTGAAACACCCAGAGGCCGCTGAGCAGCGTGGAGCGTCTGGCGCAAAGTATATTCAACTTCTACCTTCTTACGCTCACCTCTAATAAATTTCTATACCTGAATATCTTCATCTGTAGATTAAAGTTTCTTATCCATCACTGGTTACAAGTTCTAAAGTAAATATTTACATTTTATGTCAATGACATCTCTAATTTGGCATCTATCTATACCAATTGCAGCCTATGGTCCAGATACTTGAATAACAATGCTTGATTATTTAAGAATACTTATCCTTTATCGGGGTTTAAATAACAGACAGTTTTATAATAGAATGTCATTTATTTGTTTCAATAAATTATTTTTTGTACACCAGGAGAAAAACAAACGCAGTGCGATAACACAGTCAATTTTATATAAGTTTTGTTTGTTCGTTTCTTATCTACTTATACTCTAAACACAAATCTACCTGAAACTATTTACACATATACACGTTTTCTATATTACCTATTTACACAACATTTATTTAAAAAAGAAAACATCGACTCCACGTGATACAGAAGACACAGGTTAGTGTTTACATAATCAAGTGGATTATGTTTACTGTAACTGACTAGAAAGTATAAAAAAGGCACTAACTACTCACTAGGTATAATAGAAACTAACAAAGAAACAGTATGGATTAAATATGGCTCCAAATAATAATAATACTCAATAATGCACATTTTAAATTTAGACAGTTTTCCAAGCACTTTTAAAAGATTTTCCAAAAGTCAGTTAAATGTATGTAAAACAAACTGACAACTGACAGTTAAACACATAAAAGTAAAAAACTTAGAATCAGGTTTGCCACTACAAATTTTCAACGTCAAAAAAACTTTAAAAATCCAAAATCCACATATATTTTAAATTGACAATTAATATTATCAATATGTGATTATGTTCTAAATGCAAAAACGCTTTAAAATAATTTCAGATTTAAATATTTTGTAGTGACAATTCTTTAATAACTTCTAATGCTGTCATTTACAGTCAAATTATTACGTGTGTCTTTTTTCCACCGGTTTGTTGGAATCGTTTTTTCGCCGATGCGGCCTTGAACGCCTTTTGTTGGATTCGATTTATTTATGGTTGACCGTTGAAATAAATAACAGTTGATATTTTGGATTAAAATTTGTGTCTATAATTTTATTTACATGTTCCTATATACTTAAATTTGAACGTATATATTTTTATAAGCTATTTTTTCGGTTTTTCCCACAATGAAACAATTAATTAATTAATTGACTCCTTAATTTTGATTAATTCCCGCAATCCATAGCTGTCAGTTGTCACATCTAATCGGAAAAACCATACGTTGAACTGATGGAATGGTGTTGCATCGATTGCATCAACGTTGGATAAAAAGACAGCGCTGTTAGTTCATCAATGATAGATTGATGAAATAAAAGACAGGTAGATACCACACCGATGCCAACGTTGTTGCAACAGTTGGATAAAAAGACATACGTATTGCAAGCATAAGATTGGAATACTTTAACCTATTTTTGAAGTTTTTTAAACCTTTTTGTAGGTATAAAAAAATGAATGAAAATATTAAATTTAATAGAATGCCCATTTTATTAAAAACAACAATTATTATTTTAAAATTAAAATCTTGAACTGTTTCTTTTTTAAAGTTTCTTTTATTACAAAAATTTCTGGACTAACACTTAATTGTATACCTAGACATATCTTAATAACTGGTACAAGAGTAGTTTAAAAAAAACGAATTGCGTATGATATTTTTTTCATAATAAAAAAAATTATCTTTATCTATATTATATTTGTATAATTAAAACATTATACATAATTTAAATCTACAGATATAGATATTGAAATCTCATTTTAAAAATCTTTAATTGTCGATTTTGTTTTCGTTATTATTTTGAAAAGTATATACAGGGAAGCCCGATAAAAAAAAAGCAAAAAAAATTTTTTTCGTCGTATATACATGAGCTTGTCGAAAAGTTTTTACTCATTGTTAAGCTTGTTTTCAGTAGGAAACAGATTTATTTTTAAAAGTAAAAAAAAAAATTAAAAAGAAAAATTTAAATACTTTTAAAATAGGATTAAAAATGAAAAAAAAAAAGAAAGAAAATTAATTTTTTTAACTCATTCGGTAATATTTTTAGTACTAAATGTATCAGAAAGAAACATATTCTGAAAAACGAAACAGATTTTTCTTTGCCACCTGGTATATATTAGTACTATATACCTTTTTTATTGATAATTTTCATTTAAAAAATACAGCTGTTTAAATTAATATCTTATTTAATCAATATTTTTAAAAAATTACGGTAGGTACTATATATTTTAAATTTTTGGAACAAACTTGTAAAATTCAATTACTTTAGTCATTTTTATTAATAATATAGTCATCCAAATGATCTGAGAAGGGTTTGAAATTAAATTTCGAAAAATATAGATTAGTAAAATTTTGCAAACATTAATAAAAATTAATAAAACTCATTTACCTTCATTATATTTTAACAATTACAATTCATACACTTTATGAAAACATAACAATGTAAATAATACTCGAAGTGAAAAACTGAAGCAAGGTTTAATTAAAATTGTAAAATATTAATATTTTGGGTTATTAATTATGTATTTGGCTAGTTAAAGAATATAGGGAATCATAAAACTGTTTTTATTCTAAAACACAATTCCAAAAACAAAATTATTTTAAATTTTAATAACTTTAATATTACAATATTTTTTCGGGTCACCCTGTATAACTTTTTCACGCGACCCTATATGATCGGTCACGTATACCATTCAGTACAAAACGAAGTCTTATCTCAGTACAAAAGTTCGCTATAGGAATAATATCGAACACATCTAAATTTTTGATAACACCTTTTAAAATGCACCTATTTCGAAAAGAGCGATAACAAATTTTTAAAAGGAAGTTAGAATTAAAACAGTACAAAGAAAATGCAATTAAAAGAAATACAATTAAATCGTCTATTAGATTGAATCAAAACTAATATTTGTTTTGAATTCAGGCTAATGACATAATTGATTTTTAAAAAATCCTCTCTGTAGTGTACTGTTTTATTCCAACCCATTTAACTATCCAATGAATCATTTACACGAAGCTAATTGTGAAGACATTCCAATAAGCCAATCCAATGAAAAATGTAGCTCATTAATGATTCCTGTCTTAGCATCAGATCGCATAGATTTTTCAACTTTGTTTGCTTCTACCAACTAGATAAATCGTAAATGTTTAATTTCTTTCTTTACATCTTTGGTTTTCATTTCTGGTAACTGTGATAAATTATCAATTCTCCAGTCATTCTTTTTTGCAATCAATTTTTTAAAAACCATTTTAAAAGCAGCATAAAGTACAAAATGATAGTACGTGCATCTGGAGCATCTAGTGGATTGGCTTACTGGCTAGCTAATAAGGTACGTTCTCACAATGCTATTCAATCAACTGTGCGAGTGGTGGGGGTAAAAAAATTAAAACAAAATTGTATTTGCTTAGTGAAATGTCTTCACATTTGGCCTCGTGTAAATGGCCATTAAACAAGGATAACTACCATTCAAAATTTCAAAAATATTACTACTTAATTCCTAAACTGCCACATCTATCTCGAAATCGCTAAATTATCCCACCAAACTCTAGATTGGGTGTATAACAATGGGTGACCACCATGGTTGCCCATCATCATGGGTCCAGGTAAGGACATGCTATCCGGTTTTTGGCTACCTGTCAAACAGGGTTTACCATCTCTAACGAGTACTGGTACCGCCACTCTTCGCGGTGACGGCATGGGGTTGTTTTGTTGATCGTGCATCCCTTTTTCGTGTTGGGCCCTTTTGGTTTTATATCTGAAACAAAAGAGAGGATTTTGAAAATTTGGTATAACAATAACATTTTCCTCCATCATGAGATTGCAGCTCACAGATGAGATGAATCCTTAAAACTCATGTTAAATATCGACTTGTAATAAACTGATTCTTCAAGAGATTGAAATGTTGGGAAAATCTTCCAGAATGTGCAAGACTGAATATCATAGCACAAACATCTTCTCAAACGTGTATTATAATATATATGACGTTAGATAAAATATTCATCGGTTATGTCTTAAATCTAAAGTGTACAAGGTGTCCATTAGTGCTCGATATTTACATGGATTTAAAAGACATAACTTTAAATATATCTTTAAATATACGTTTCTGGCAAATAAAAATGTATAGTTTTAAAATGGAACATCCTGTATTAATTACAATTTTATAAAGATCTGGTAATAATGTATTCAAACCTAGAGTGTTTCTAAAAACTTATAAAGATCTCTGCCAAGCTAACTAATACCTAGTGGTGATAGAACAGAGTGTCTTGGCTAATTTTAAGTTTAATTTCATCAATGTTTTCAAATACAACACTTTTTATACCTAGTGGTGATAGAACTGGTTTATTTTCTACAGAGTGGCAATTTTAAGTTTAATTTACTCAATGTTTTCAAATACAACACTTTTTATATTATTTAAGCATAAAATTCTTTATAAATTTACCTATCCAACGAGATTAGCCAATTATACATATACAGCTAGGGTATCCCATTAGTGCTTAATTGATCGATAGCTGTTGTATTATTGGAAATACGAAGAAATTTTTCTTAAACGAAAGGCTGACCAAACTTACTTCTCTAAAGCAAAACACCTTGTAGGTAGTTACATATATTTAATTGTTTTACATCGTCAAACAACTTTAACAGACTTCGTTTAATTGCTATGTTGCATACAGGGTGTCACAAAACTCAAAGTTACGATTTTCTCAATTGTTTAAATGGAATGGAATATTATACCATCAATTAATTAAATAATTTCTTTAATTTTATTTTTTTTGCATTTCTTAGACCAAAACAATTTTTATGGCCTCGGGAGAACAGAAAACCATTCATTATTTTTAAAAAATTGGTTACCAAAAATTTTGGGCGTCTGTTATAATAAGAACAAAACACATTTTTATTTTCAGAAGAATTAAGTTGAAAATAGGATTGTTTTATTTTAAAAATTATAAAAAACAATTAGATCAAAATTTTCAGAAAAAATGTGTTTGGGTATAGGCAATGCCAGACAAAATTAAGAAATTTATTTATAAATTGGTGGTATACCATTCAGGGCACTGCATTTGAAAAAATTTAAAATATCGTTATCTAGCATTTAAAAACACCCTGTATACATAATAACAAAAGAATAAAATGAGAAAACGTCTAATAAAATTGTTTAACGATGGGAAAACTACTAAATCTGTTATCCATAGTGTTTAGTCCAAAAAATTAAAATTTTATGAACTTCCTTGTTTATTTGAGGATATTGTAAAATATCCTCCTAAAACTTTTATATGAAAAATTTCGTCGTATTTCCAATGATAAAACATCGATCATATATGCACTGATGGGACACCCTGTATATATGTAATTGGCTAACCTGTTGTTATCATGAAAAGATAAATTTATATGGAATTTATGCTAAAATAATAATATTAATAAAATAATTGAAAAGACTGAGTAAATTGAACTTAAATTTAGCCATATTTTAGACAAGACAAACCCGGTATAAAATAAAATCAGTTTTCCTCTCTATTTTAGACCTTACCTGATGATGAGGATCTGATCCTCGAAACCGGTCGTAATAAAATACTCTTGTGAGATCCTAAGGACCACCCTCGTTTGATTTACCTTTTTTGAACTTATAACTCACACACACTATTCGTTAGCTTGGTATCTTACAGGTCTGTACTTAAAACAATTTTAAAATCATTATGACAATTTAATTTTGGGTCTGCATTATTTTGAAATTTCATAAAATAATTAATTGCTTAGTAACCATATGAAAAGTTCTTATTTTCAAGCATCAGAGCAATCTTAGTCGGTTCAAAAATAGTATCTTACTAAAACATTGTATGAACTGGTTATGTCCTTAATATTCAAGGACCATATTTTTCAAACAGCGCCAATATTGATGCCAGAATACTTATTCCATAACTGGATAATGATTTTCATGGTATGGATGGAGATATTGCTTTGTTTGATAGAGGCTATAGAAAAGTGAATATTATACATATAGTTGAGTTGAGAATGAAAGACTGGAAAAAAGGAGAGGAAGATAGACTGCTCCATTAGACCAACATGCTCAACTATTTTCACGTTCCAATTTGGATTTTCTACAGGGGTACAATTTTGGAACGTATCAGATCTATTTTTGTCACCTTCTTATATTCGAGATACATTTTTAAGAGCTAATATTAATGCAAAGGAGCATGATCGGCTGTTAGAGATTGATTCAAACACGAACGACCTTGATTTTTTGCAGTTGGAATAGTTTTCCAAGTTTCCTAGCAACTATGAATTGCTTTTAATCATGAATATGCGTTAGATAATGAAGACAACTTCGAGCCTATTTTGGGTCATTACTGTACCTGCAAATCAGGGGCTAGAACTGTGGGATCATGTGTCCAATTTAGGCTGATTTTTATTTTTTCCACTATTTTTTTCGCTCCCGTCCTGAAATTTTGTTGAAAATGCCCCAAAAAAAATTCCCTTAAAGTTTGAGTCCATAATATTATTATTAAGTCCTCGACCAAGGCGTGCAAAGATTTTCCATTTAAAATACATGTAAAATTAGGGTTTTTTTCTTCAGATCTCTATAGCTTAGCGGCATTTCATGGTATTATTTCGGCCATAGACAAAAGTGTCCATTGCGGCGATGTCGTAACTCATATCGGCGAGGTAGTACGGGTCGCGTAAATAGAAAACCTACTTCAATACATCCCCCAGGCAGTGACCAACCAGACTAGGTGTTCCATGCGTTAATCGTGCAGAAAACCTACTTGAATATATCATCGGATGGTGCCGTATTGGAGTAGGATTGCGCGTTATTACGCTACCTAAACATGCGGAAATACTACTTCAGTACAGCCCCTGTTTTCTTGCGTAAAAAAAGATATATGTATTTGCATAGTTTATTAATGTTTGCTGTCATACTAAAAATGATTTTAAATATTGAAGGCTATATTATGGGGTTGCTTTTTGGCACCTTAACTGAAATAAGTATCTTAAGCTCTTCGACGTGAGGTAGTTGTGGGTTGTTCTTTGGCAAATTACTGTAGATATAAGAATAAGTATAACTTTCGTCACTTTGACCGTCCATTTTCACGATTCTATAGTAAGTTAATATTGCACTAAGTAATGTTTCAATAGTTTCTTCCATTTTAATGGTAGGGTATATTGTTAATTCACTTTTTGTTTATAAACAACCGAATACCAAGCCGCCGCTTGTTATTTATTTATTTATTTATTTATTTATCCTAACAGGCCTATTGGCCTAATTACAAGGATAATTACTATTAAATAATTACAATATACGTGCCTACCACAATTTACATAATTTTGATACCAGAACACCATGAGATCAAATAACATTACTTGCTTAAATGGACATGTTTGTAATTTGTTTAATAATATTTTTTTTAAATGTATTATATTTCTCATACCAGTCTATATCTTCTAAATTATTTATACCATTGGCTAAGCGAAGAATGATCAGGAGGGGAGCTCTGGATGTAATCGTGGCAAAAGGAACAATAAACATATTTGAGTTACGCATGGGACGTGATGGAACACAAAATGGTATTAGGGCTAACAGATCTGAAGAACATATTTGATTATTGATTATTTTATACAAAAATAAGGTGCATGTGATTTTGCGTCTAGTCTCAAGAGAAGGTAATTTAAAATATATATAAACGTAACCAAACATAACCACTAAAGGAACACTTGCCGTACTAAAGTAGCAATTACAGAATATTATGCCGCGTATAGACCGGAAAATCCTACTCCAATACGGCACCGTCCGGGGCTATATTCAAGTAGTATTATCTCGACAAATATTGATCTTAGCGATTTGATTCTTAGGACAATTTTTGTAGTAAATTAAATATCCTACAACTTTGTTATTTACATTTTTTCTGTAACTATTCTCAATTATGACATAGTGTCGAAATAACGTGAATTTCATGAAAAAATTCGATTTAGTGACCCGTACTACCTCGCCGATGTGAGTTAGGACATCGCCGCAATGGACACTTTTGTAGAGCGTTCAATTTGGAGAAATATATGTCTATGGTCGAAATAATACCATGAAATTCCGCTAAGCTATAGAAATCTGAAGAAAAATCCCTAATTTTACGTACATTTTAAGACGGGAGCGAAAAAAATAGTCGAAAAAAAATATCACCCTAGTGTCCATGGATACTCTAGATACTAGAAAATGTGAAATACCCGTCTTTATTAATGCTAGAACATGTCCTGAATGCTACAAATGTATATTTTTAAATATTCAGTTTTTTTTTCTGATAAATACTTCCATTTTATGTCTTACGTCTTTACGTTTTACTCGAAAATTGTTCATTTTATTATACCTTAAACTTTAGTATTACAGTGGTAAAAATACTTGAAGTATGTTGATTTGATGTTATTTAGATGTGAAGAAGCAAAAACATAAAACTCAATATAAATAAAATGGGAAGATAGGATATCTTTATATCAACTTCAAAGTACCGTAAAACAAAAACTAGATGATTTTTGATCAAACCGATTAAAGAATATTCATCAGCAGAAGTTACTGTATGGTATCTGACAATTTCATCAAATTTGACCGAAATGCAAAATCATGATTGGCGTTTATTGTGTATTTTTTCAATGAAACATTTCAAAACAATTAAATAGTCGCTGTAAGGAGCTAGTTGCTTCTTTAATAGATTATTTTGAGAAAGATCGTGATAATAATGACCCTGTGCTACATTTAGCAGCTGTTTGATAATTAAG